GTTACATACAATAAAAAAACAGCTGCGGATAAAATTTACCCGTTGGCGGTTCTAGTGTTAAGGACACAGGTTAAGGACCCATTTAAGAACATAGGTTAAGAATAGAGGTAAGGATAGAGGGTGAAGACACAGGTTAAGGACACAGTTAAGGACATGGGTTAAGGATAGAGGTTAAGGATAGAGTTTACGGATAGAAGGTGAAGACACAGGTTAAGGACACAGGTTAAGCACACAGGTTAAGAACATAGGTTAAGGACAGAGGTCACGGACACAGGTTAAGAATAGAGGTTAAGGACAGAGGTTAAGGGCACAGGTTAATGATAGAGGTTAAGGACACAGGTTAAGGACACAGGTTAAGGATAGAGGTTGAGGATAGAGGTTAAGGACAGTGAGGATGGACATTTTGCAGTCTTACTATGAACTCTAGTCTTACGGTCTATGGAGTCTGCAAACACCTCTCCGTAGATCATCCAGTAAGGCATGTAGAAGATGTTGCGGGCCAGCCTCCAGGTGGGCTCCTCGTCCGGGTGAAGGATCGCCTGCTTTGCCACACCAAAGCTCATCAGGACCACCAGCATGATGACCACGAAGTAAAGCATGTCGACCATCTGTGATAAACATCAGGACCACCAGCATGAGGACCAGCAAGTACAGCATGTCGACCATCTGTTATAAACATCAGGACCACCAGCATGAGGACCAGCAAGTACAGCATCTCGACCATCTGTTATAAACATCAGGACCACCAGCATGAGGACCAGCAAGTACAGCATGTCGACCATCTGTTATAAACATCAGGACCACCAGCATGAGGACCAGCAAGTACAGCATCTCGACCATCTGTTATAAACACCAGGACCACCAGCATGAGGACCAGCAAGTACAGCATGTCGACCATCTGTTATAAACATCAGGTGCTTTGACTCTGATCTCCTTTCAGAATTAATCTTTAAAGTGTTTTGCTCGGTACGACCCGGAATAGCCAAAGCATCAATATCAGTATGGAGTTATTTCAACATCATTTTGATGTGTTTATTAAAGTTAAATCGAGGTAAAATATGATCATTTTTTTGGTCAATAATTCATTAAAAGCTTTCTGTGCAACGCTCTGGCCGTAGCGTGGCAGCCAATTTGAGACTTAGGCATGCAGGGTCCAACCTTGTCTAAATGCCTTTTGCTTCATTAGGTTCCCGGCCTTAGGACTTTAACTGGTCAATGATGAGTCATAGTTATAGCGCCACCTGCTGTTGACAGGAAGCTTTATTTTAATGAGTTTCATCAACAGTTACATTTAGGAGTGCCGTACCATCTTCCCGATCATCATGACGTAGGGTCCCAGGTACTTGTTGACGCCGAAGATGTCGAGGACTCGGATGTACCAGAAGATGATGTCCACGCAGTAGATGACGCGTCCGTAGCCCATGGAGGGTTCGCTCTGCAGCCGCAGGAGGAGACCCAGCAGGAACACGGCGATGGCCGCCATATCCGTGATGTTCCAGTAGTCCTCCATCCAAACGTTGATCTTCTGCTTCAGCTTCCCGGGCTCCGACATCAGGATCTGAGGGGGGGGTTCAGTACATTTATACACAATCAGTACTTTTCCTTAGCCCCACCTCCACCTCACCATACCTGTCAGCCACTCCCACCTCATCAGCTCACCTGTGCTCCCAGCTGCAGCTCATCTGCAATCAAGCCAGTGTTCAAAAGGACCCACCGTGACAGGTGTTACAGGACATTTAACTTTTCTGGTAAGTTCCTTATACAGCTTTAGCCTTGTTGTAGGAGCCGCATTTAAGTTTATTTTGTTTTGATTTATTTGGAACCTTTATTAATGCATTTTTCTGTTTCAGTGAGAGGTGTGCTTTGCTCAGGTGAAGGGGGGGGGCGACACCGAGAAAAAGAGGGAGGGCTCCGTTCGCAAACGAGGGCGCGACATAAGTATACTTGGGAGGGGCAACTCCGTCTGACAATTAAGAGAGGCCAACAGTGGTCGTCTACTGTTTGTGGGTGGAGGCCAGTCTACAGCAATTTCAAATTAGAAGGCCTGTTTTATCTTTTCACGGCAGTTTCCAAAGAACAATAATAACTCGAAATTTTGTTTACTTATTGTTAAGATATATTATTATATTATTTTGTGCCTCCTGCATCTAGATAAAAAGAGGGGTAGAGACTGAACTAGTCTCGTGCGAGGGGAGAGGACGGTCCCCCCGCACCAGTCGACGTCGAGTTTCTAGTCGGGGACGTTTTTGTCCCGCCTCTTGTCGTTTTATCTCACTTTACTCCGCTACCCGAATTTTACGTACTAGACAAACCATAAAACTTTTGTCTTTGCATTTTTATATGGAAATATATCCATAACGGGATATTATATTAGTATATTTATATCGTACTATCCACAGGAAATTTATCCTATAAGTTAAGTTTAATGCGGGTATAGTTGTTAATAAGAATTAAGATTGGTATGATCTACTGCACATAGACATATTGCTCATTCTTTTTCACTCTTTGCTCTCTCACTAACTTGAGTCGAACTATGCTTCTGCGTCCATTACACGTGTCTTTCAGACTTTTTGGTAATTTCTCTTGTACCGTTAACCAGACTTCCGGACCCGTCTCTCCTATGGTCCTTTGTTCCCTCCATTGTAGGTGGCCTTCTCTACCTCGATGTGCCCCTAAGTTCTCCTCTCCTTTCGTCCTAGCTCGTTGCTCAGTTAGTACCTGTTTCAGGCCTCTTCAGAACTGTTTACTTCTCTTCTTTATATGCCTTGGGTTAAAGATGAAACCCTTTAATTTCCCGTTGTATTAATGTGTTTTAGTCTGATGTATTTTGTGTTAAGACTGTTCATTGGGGATCACAGTTTATAGACTTTTTCATGTGTAAATACAAGTTTAACCGAAATTACCCATTTTATTGACAATATTGCGATCTAATTACTCACACTATAAAAAACAAATCTAATACAAACTTGTAAGAACACTTAACTCCTAATTTCTCTTATTTATAATTGATTTTATATTAACTTAGTCGATTTAATTGAACCTCGTCTAGTAATAGATAAAAGATTAGCACTCTCCATACCAAAACAAGTTAGGTCCTAAATGAAACTTTTCAAATGTCCGCAATTTCAAGGGGCTACACCTTGAAACAAGTCCAGACAAGGTGTCGCTACCAACATTAAGAGTAGTAACAAAGAGTAATCAGGTTAAGACCAAGGTTTAATGTCACAAAGGGTGTTGTCCACATTTACATTCTATCTTTCCCTGCCACACATACATTCCGTAAAATTAAGACAGATTTGCTACCGAACCTAACAAAATTGGAAAACCGGTGTTGTTTGGTGTCTAGAAAAAGCTTTACATCGATCAAAAGACAGTGTATCACAATCAGACAGCCCGGTGTTACCTGTAAGAACCCCTTCGTACCAACAATACCCTTGTGATTTAGAAGTACTGGGACCGGGTACTGGGTGGTCTGACAAGTCCCACACAGTGAACTCCCTGAAGTACTTATTTTTGTTCACATCCGGTTTTAGGGTTTCCAAACAAGAACCATTGGAAGTGAGTTTTTCATCAATAACAGAGAACCGCGTGTACATCTCGAACCCGGAGCCTTCGTCAGCAGTCTGAGCGTCCATGGTGGTTAGGCTGACCTGCAAAGCCCAACGAAAAGTCCAAATAAAGTCATTTTGTATATTAGTTTTTTATGCCTTTTGTTAATAAATTGTCTGATGAATTTGTCGTCTAGATTATAGACATAACCGATTCGTATTCCAACGCAGACGCACAGTTACTGCATACGACGCGACGGACGACGAGCAGAGGCAGTGTGTGGCGTGGCGGTGT